TAGTCTAAACATATTTGTTTCTTAAGTGCAGCTATTATATCTTTTTTTAAAAAGTAATAGTGACTTAAAATTTTTAATATTTTATCATACAGATAGGAAAAAGACAAAAATAAAAGGGAAACTGTTTTAAATGACCCACAATCCCTGTTGTTAAGTATTTCCATTCTAAACAACATTTTGGTATATCACTGTGAGAGATTTAACTCCATTAAGGCAACGTAGATTTTTGGCCTATTTTGTGTTTGTGTTTTAAACCTGAAAACACCCCGTGTTGTCATTTAAGGTGACCCCTTCATCTTACAAATATTGAAATTGCAACCCAGAGAAATAAAATTACTTGAGAAAGGTCATTTTGGGGGTTGGAGTGAGGACTGGGGTTTGATCTCTGATCTCCAGCACTGAAAAAGAAGTCTTCTTCTGGACAAAAAAAAATCATACTCATGTTTAACACAGTGCAGTAATTTTATACTTTCACCTTATCTATGATTTCAGCTATTTCAAAAATCTATAATCTGCATATATCCTTTAAAAATATATAGATTTCTAGGGTCAGCAAGATGGCTCATCAGGTAAATATGGTTGCCACCAAGCCTGACAACCTGAGTTCAATCCCAGGAACCCATATGGTGAAGGAGAGAACCGACTCCCACAAGTTCCCCTCTGACTTCCATATGAGCACTGTGGTATGCACATACAAACACACATACACAAAAAAATAAAAAAATAAAAATATGGATTTCTAAACAGGTAACACCTAATGGATTTTAAGTTTTGCAAAGATTTGTTCATTGCAACTTTAGTCTCTATTTCAAGAAGTTATCCCATTAATTTACTGATGATCCACTGAACTTTTTTTTACCATCACTGATAGTTATATTTACCTTTAGGAATTGGCTTAGATCTCTCCCTGAGCATCTTAAATGATCTGAAACATTTCCTTCTATCTTAAACTTAGGAGTCAGCAAACCTTCTCCATAAAGGCCAGACTATAAATACTTTAGACTTTGTGGATCATACAGAATGATACCCTACTCTGCCCCTAGAGTGGAAAAACAGCAATAGACAATAGGTCAGCAAATAGTGCAAGTGTGTGCTAATAAAACTTTGTTGCACTATGTAACAGGTTAGAATTTGACAACCCCCAACCTAAAACATAATGATCAGTCCCATAAAATTCATTATGATGATTATGATCACTGAAATGCTAGAGGGTAGAACCTGGGGCCTTGTGACTCCTTCAAAAACACTCTGTCACTTAGCTACTTCCCCAGTGCCCAAGCCTCATATTTAGAGTATACTATCTGCCAAGACCTTTTATCCTCAGTGTTCTCATTCCTAGAGTTCCTAAGAGAGGACTCAAAAATCCAGTCAATTTGCAGCAACTCTGATTCACCCAGCTGGTCCTGTTGAACTTTCACTCAATCTCTTTTCATCAGTAAATACTCCATAAAATTTCAATTTATGTGTATTAAATGTTATCGCAGTTAAGAAATGACTTGTAAATATTCATGACCTCGACCTAATCATGAGAAAAACACCGACAAAAACAAATTGAAGGGTATGCTACAAAACACCTGATGAGCTTCATTAGATGTTGCTGTGGATATTGGGAGATTATTCTTTGTAGTTATAACAGTTAACAAACATTTCTGTGGGCTTGTCTACATGTTTAAGTTCCGGTATCAGACCCCAGTGAGTCCACCATCAATCAAGTGCAACTCTAATGCCAGTGTTAGAATTCCTTATGAGGAGGGTTGCATGACGGCGCTCCTGTTGCTTCTCTCTGCAGACATTGAAGGATGCCACAATAACAATGGTGGCTGCAGCCATTCCTGTCTTGGGTCTGAGAAGGGTTACCAGTGTGAGTGTCCCCGGGGCTTGGTTCTGTCCGAAGATAACCACACTTGCCAAGGTAGAGCAAGGTTTGACTTCTGACTTACACTTCCTCCCCTCTCTCCTCAAGAATGTCAAGACTTATCTTTCAGTACACTGACTCTTGGAGCTTTGTGTCACTGAGTCATCATTCAGGAATCATTCAAAAGAGAACACCTCAACAGGGTGTGCTCATACACATCTGCAGTCCCAGCACTTGGGAGATGGAGGCAGGACCACATGGGCCGATCTGGATACATAGGAAGACCCTATCTCAAATAGAGATGGGTTGAGGGGATCTTTTATGAAAAGCTAACTTTACTGTTTACCGTTGATACTCAGGCTTATTGCCACAGCCCTTGATGAATTGTTCTAATTTCTATAGCTAACAGTACAAATGATACTTGATTTGGAAGTGTAAGACACTGTAGTGCTCATTCTAACACGGTTTTTTAATATTTTATTATTTTTTATATGTGTGTGTTGCCTGTATGTATGAAAGTGCACCTGTGTCATGCAATGCCCACAGAGGTAAGAGGGCATTGGATCCCCTGGAACTGGAGTTATAGATGATTGTTACCTGCCATGTGGATGCTGGGAATAGAACCCTGGCCCTCTGCAAGAGCAGCCGGTGCTCTTATCCACTGAGCCATATCTCCAGGCCTCTAACAGGGTTTTATAGGGTTGAAACTAAGTTGATTCCCTGGACCATGGATTTTTCCCCCATCGACAGTCCTCTCAGAGCTATTTTCTGAAAATCTAGTTCTTGGTATATGGAATATTAATTCCATCATCCAGCCAATAATCAATGAGCTCTTACTTCTGATTTCTTTGTACATTCCATTGCCATGATATGTCCTCACAGATTGGACTCTGACAGTTCCTGAAGTATTCTTTTCAGAGTGTTTACAGAGTCTGAGAAAGTGAACATGGGAAAGCTAAGAGAAAACAATCTTTTACTTTTTATTTTTTTGGTCTTTTTGAGACAGGGTCTCCCTGCAACCCCAGCTGTCCTGGAACTCACTATGTAGACCAGGCTGGCCTTGAACTCTCAGAGATCCACCTGCCTCTGCTTCCCAAGTTCTGGGATTAAAGGCGTGCGCCACCACACCCAGCCGGAAAACAATCTTTTTTATATTAAGTTAAAGTAGAATTTATAATCAGAGTTTGTTTACTGAGCAAGGCAAGGGCAATCTGGAAGGCTTCCATGAGTGCACTACCACTGTGTTTATTACCTGTGTTTTATGGGGCAGTAATTAAAACAAAGCAGTACTCTCGTGTCATTTAAACCTGGATCAAAGCAGTGCCTTTTCTGTACTGCCAGCAAACTGTGTTGGCACTAAAAGTTAATCCTTGAGGTATTTCACTTCGTGGGTTATATTACCATGCCCTGAACAAATGTTTGCTGAGCTGAAGCTTGATCACAGTATTTCCTGTCTGAGGAACACTTTGAGGAGCATTATTTGGCCATAATCTTGGGAATTAGGAATGGTTTTATTCAACTTGTTTTGAGCCCATTGATTTCCTGGAGGAAAGAAAAGAGCAGGTGACATGAAGGAGAGTGGTTCCCCCAAAGCCTTCCTTAGCCTTTCTCCCAATCCAGGTTTCCTATTCTAACGGCAGCCTCCTTTCACAGTTCCTGTGCTGTGCAAGTCCAGCACCATTGAAGTGAGTGTCCCCCGAGAGCTGGTTGGCGGCCTGGAGCTCTTCCTGACCAATACCTCCTGCCGAGGAGTGTCCAACGGCACCCATGTGAACATTGTCTTCTCCCTCAAGACCTGTGGCACAGTGGTTGATGTAGGTTCTTCTTGTGGACACTTGGGGAATGACCAAAGATACTTTAAGCTTGGGAGGTAGTTGACAGGGGAACACAGTGTGGCTTGTGTGGAAAAGATAACTTCACACAAAAGAACTGGGCTCAGAACATCTTTTGTCACCATTGTAGTCCTGCCACCATGAGGTATGGGATCAAGAATTCTGCCTTTCCTGTTCTCATCAGGCCAGAGTCACCTGAATGCATAAATACCTTCCTACATGAGCCCACATGAGTGGTATCAAGAGGCAGACCACCTCCTCTTTAACTTGTTTTCAGTAGCTAATGAGAGATTGTGATGAAGTGAGTGAGTTCAGACATGGATTCAGGCTGAGATCAAGGGTTTCTTTTTTTTTTTTTTTTTTTTTTTTTTTCTCAAAACTTTCTGAGGGCCTCTTGTGTAGAGTCAAAGGGGCAATA